ACTTAGGGCAATGATCTTTCCACAGTTGAAGCCAACGATGTAAAACTATCTTGGGCTCCTTCTACTGCAGCACACTGATTTTTCTTTCTACTCTACTCTGCCACTGAACAAATTCAGAATGTGTCTGGAAGGTCTCCTTCCCAAACACAAATGAAATTATAAAGAACAACTGACTTAAAAGTTTCAGTGCTAGGAGACCAGATTGCTTCTGACTTGTCTTACTTGGCTAAAAATAACACAACCACAATGAGTTTGACATACAAAGAAAGAAAAGGGGGGGCAGCCAATATAAACATAGCTGGAAAGGTGTAAAAGTAAATGCTTGTAAAAAACTATTTAGAGGATTTTGAAGTAGTAATTAATGATAGAAAACTTTTGGCACTTCATGTTTTTAATAATCACTTTCACAAACTCACAGCTCAATAGTTTCTTAAGCAAACCATTAGGGTGTTACAAGTGTGAGAGGACCATCCCTAGGATGAAGACACCTAGTCCTTCTCTCCTCCCCCAAACTTGAATGAAACCTGCAGCTTCCTTAAGACTAACTGTAGTTACTACCATGCCCCCGAAATGGGTGAACTTTTGTGTCGCTCCTTCCCTTGCTTATTTATGAATTATCTGTTATTATTTAGGATTTTTGAAGTGTAGAGTTTAGTGATTTTTAATACAGTCATTTAATCATCACCACAACCAATTTTAGAACATTTCTATCACCTCCATATAGAAACCTCCTAACTTTTCATTATTGTTGCCAAAATTTCTCCTCCTCCAGCCCTAAGCAACCATTGATTTACCTTCTGTCTCTACCTATTTGCTGATTCTGAATATATACTAGTATCCTTTCGCTGGTGGATAGAAGCACTGTTCAACAATTATATCCCAGAGGCCTAGCATAATGCAAAAAAGCCTCCAGTCTCTCAAGCAGCAGGGTAAATGGACAGCTTAATTATCTCTGTAGCAACCTTATGGTTTTGGAACAAGGTAGCATATAAATTATTAAACCACCAGAAGGAAGGCAGCTTTCTGCAGCAAAGGCAGACATGTCAAGCCAAGAACTGAGCCTTTTGAACTAGGGCTGTGATAACAATTTGACAGAAAAAGTCTAGGTCTATAGTCAATGGAGACCTGAATTCCTGTTCCAACTCAGTCCCTCTCCTGAGGTGAGGTCATGGGTCAGCTACTTAACCTCATTGAGCTGTATTCTCTTTATTCATAAAATGGGAATAGTACTATAAATCTTGTAGCATTAATGTCAAAACTAAATGAAAATATGTATTTAAAGAAGTTAACACGGCAGAAAGCACAGGAAAAGAATTAGTTCCCCTGATGCTACCCTCTCACCACCCTGCCAGGTCCCTAGTACATTCAGGTTCTGAAATGGCAGACATTACTGATACTTCTAAAGTCTTTCGTCATTCTCTTTACTAAGTTCTACATCATTTTTCTTAAGCTGTTCTCCTTTCCCCAACCACATTTCATTACTTTAACAAGACTATCCTCCTAATAACCAGTCCCATCCACTGATTTGCTTCAATTTCTTTATCCCTCCCCCCAACAAATCCCTCTTTCACATGCCCACAACCCACCCTTGTGATGTCTTTTTTTTTTTTTAATATTTATTTATTGGCCCTCCCTGGTGGCGCAGTGGGTTAAAGCACAGCCCTAAGAAGCTAAAGCCACTTCAGCATGAGTTCGATCCCTGCCTGCCCCAGAGGTGACCCACATGGCTCAGCAGACCTCTCCTGACCCGCCCGCTGCTACCCTCAGCAGTGTACTTCATCAGTCGGCCTGTTCTGCTCCTCACTCTGACTCTGGTGAATCTTCTCACCACCCCTGCACCTCTGGCCTGTACCGCAGTTCAGTATGCATAAATAAATATTTTAAAAATAAATAAATAAATAAACAAACAAACAAGAGATTTATTTATTTATGCATATAGAACTGGGGTATAAGCCAGAGGTGCAGGGGCGGTGAGAGGCTTCACCAGAGACAAAGTGGGAAGCAGAACAGGCAGATCAATGAAGTATACTGCTGAGTGGGCAGGTCAGGAGTGGTCTGCTGCATACCATGTGGATATGGATCACCTCTGACGCCAGCAATGAAGTGGCTGTGGCTAGCTTGCAGTGCTGCATCCTAACCCATTGTGACACCAGGGAGGGCCCTCTTGAGATGTCTTTTAACTGACTATCTTGTTTTTTGCTCAAAGCCCCCTTTCCCTCATAGTTATCTTCTGACTATTCCTACGGCAGCTTCTGAATTCTTATATTTTTTACTGAACTATCTAACTTCTCCCCACCCTTTTCTTTGATGTCCTGGTCTCATTTCCCTTACCCTTTAGAACTGCTTTAAGCCATTTCTACACATTGGTTTTAGAAATGGGAGGACTTTTAAGAAATAAATAAATAAATAAATAAATAAACAAACAAATGGTTTTAAGAAACCATTTGGTAAAGCCTCTTACCTAGGACGTAGGTAGGATACAACAACCTGCATTTTATGAAGAGGAGTTCAATTGATTTTAATGCCACTCACACTGTCACATCCTCCCTAAAATCTGTCCTAAACTAGTCTCCCTCTCCCGACTCCATCCCCTGTCCCCAGCCTCTCTGGCTTTGCCTCCTCATTTGTTCTAGAGGAGTCCTTCATTATCATATCACTTATGTGTCTGTCTGACACCTGTTACCTGAGAGTTTTTATATTCTCACTTGCTCATTTTAAGGGAGGACAACTCTATCTTATTTCATTCCAACATTGACTGGGCACACTTTCAACACTGTTTGGTCTGTCAGTTGATCTGTCTATATCTTGTCTTATACTGCTAACTTTACAGTGTTCTTATTATGTCACTAATTTTATAGTCAACTAATACCTAATTTATATTCAGTGGAACACAGATCTTTCTATGACAGAATCTACTTACTTAAAGAATCATTAGCTATTTCTAATGCATTAGGAGGTTAAAGGCAACTTTATAAAACCTTCACCAATATATTCATTAGAACCCAAACCCAACCCCATATTAATCAAATGGAATCTAAAGTAAAAATAGCCACCAATCTATTCTCCATAGTTACCAAAGTTCTCCCTCCTGACTATGCTGCAAGTTTAATAATCAATTCTGACAAAGCCCCAATTTAATCAACTTCCCCATACAAGACTTTTCTTATTCAAATATTCCATTAGTGTTTAATGAGCTGCTACTGTATGCCAAGTAGCATATCAAAAATTGCAAATATAAAGGCAAATCAGCTTTTATTTCTTCTTACAAGGCATTTAAATCTAGTGGGAAAAGATGGGCAGAGGCATCATAGAGATTTATAAGAAGGTCATGTGAGGGGAGAGAAGTAGCTGTGGGGTGTAGTGTAAAGAGTTAAGAACCTATGCCTCTAACTCAGCTTCCTACTACTACAGAAATCTAAGATTTTAGAAAGTCATGTTCTCTTTCTGCGCTTTAACCTTCACATCCATAAAACAACAGGATTAGGTAAAACAATAGTAAGGTCCATTTTACGGACCATTTTAATTATGAGTCCATGTTATGAAAGAAAGCAACAAAACAGCAGCAATATTCACCAAAGATTTATCATGAGCCAGAAATCGTGCTAGGCAACATTTAAGAAACAATTTTTAATGGGATGGCAGTGCTGTCATTACAGTATTATTTTCTTTCTTTTTTATTGTTTCAAGTAGAAAGATGGTTTTATTATAGTTTTGTTATGATTATACACTATTTTTGAGAAGATATGAAGTGGCTTACAGTAAGAATATAAAAAGACTGAGCCTTAATAGAGAATAAATTCACTTTTGTATTAAACATAGGATGATGCTCAAAATTATTTTTTAAATTAAAGGCCATGTTGAAAATCCATGATGGTTAAATTAAAAACTTTGTCTTAATTCTGAACTTCCCAGCAATCTAAGCAAGCAAGAAAAGTAGACACACAGGTTTTAGAAACGACACTAACTCAAATGAGAAAGTTTTTCCAGGCTTATCTCAGAAATAAGCAATAAAATCAGACTGCTCCAAAACAACCTACAAAAGGATTCATATATAAAAAAAACTACATCAGGAATCATAACTGTACATATCTTATACTACTTGTAAACTCTGGTAGCTTTTATGGTGATAGTAGTGATGAGCAGCAAAAAGCCTTAAGATCAAAAAAAAAAAAAAAAAGCGGGCTCTCTGGTGGCTCAATGGGTTAAAGAACTGTACTATGATGGGTTAAAGAACTGTACTATGAAAAAAAAAAAAAAAAAAAAGAACTGTACTATGAAGCTCTCAGAAGCCACTGCAGTAGGGTTCGATCCTCAGCCAGGGATCTGGTCCACATGGTGCAACAGATCTGTCCTGACCCGCCGCTGCTCCCCTCAGCAGTGTATTTCAGTAGATCTGCCTGTTCTGCTCGCCACTCTGTCTCTGGTGAATCCTTTCACCCACCACACTTCTGGCCTGTACCACAGTTCTGTAAGCATAAATAAATAAATCTTTTTAAAAAGTCTAAAAAACAAATTAAAAAAAAAAAGGAAGATCTAGGTGTATGCCCTCAAGGCAGCAAGAAGTGCTGGTAAGAAGAAAGGAATCCTAGAAATAAGAGTGAGCAATGTCATTTTTAAACAAATAAACTAAACAGACAATAAAATGGGGTAAAGTTTGTATTAGTCATCTACATATCAAACAGAGAGCAAGGCACATAGAAGCTGTTCACACCAAGAGGACTGTTGTTTCCTCCCAAGATAGAAAGTTCACATTTTTCAGCAGAGCAATTAGTATAATCCTACCCTGAGGTTACCAGAAATGTATAGATTATACTTTTTCTTAAAAATTCAGGTCAATCTCTTGTTCTAAGTTCCTACTGGAAAATCACTTCCCATCTCTTTGCCATTTCCACATCCCCTGTGCAAAGAAACTACAATAAATACTTTTGTTCCCCAGCCCCTTTTTTGTTTCATGCCCCAAAATGAAAGAACAGTGACTGAATTCAGAATCAGTCTCTTACCCTGTCAAGAAAGCTAAGGAATAAGAGCTGTTCTTGGAAACAAATGCGGATCGATGAGTTTGGGTCATCTTGCCTCGGGAAGGTTCTTCATTCTCTGAATCTGAGAGACGTGCAGGACACTGGCAGGAGACAAAAGAGACAACACAGTCCATATGGAGTTCTCACGAAATCTCCCCCTACTTATTGTTTCAAATCTCTTTTCCTGTTCCATGTCATTTTTCTCTGAGTACCAATCTATGTTTCCAAATACCACCTGCAGATCTCAAGCTGGATACCCCAAATGTCACATCGACTTAGTAAATACTAAACCAAGCTCACTATTTTTCTTCTCTAAGTCCCATCACCAACCCAGTTAGAAAACTCAATATAATCTACAACTTTCTTTTCTTTGAAGTCATACTAACATTGCAGAGCAGTTTTGAATACCCCAATATTTCTAAATATTTTATTTCATATACTCTATGAAATAGCCTAATAAGTAAGGATTATGATATATATTTTATAGATGGCAAACAGGCGCAGGAAAGTATTTTGCGTAGGACCATGGAGTTAATAAGTAGTTAAAGCTAGCATTTAAATCTACAGCATCTGTCTCTAAACTGCCGCCATGCTACTCCTAAAATGTCTCACATCAATCTCTTCCCATCTTTACTCATTGTCATTGTCTTTCCTTAGATTCTCATCCCCTCTGGCTGGACTACAGCAATAAGCTACTTCCTGGTTCCATTATCCCCAGCCTTTCTTCCCTGCAGTCCCCTCCATACTACCGAGCACACAGATAAATTCCCATCATTTCCCTGCTTAACTGCTGGTGGCCTCAGGATGATTCGACCAAGCCCTTCATAACTTTGTCCTACCAGTTCCCACACAGGGAATATCTTGAGCTACAATCAACCCAACTACTTTTACTCTCTACATAACATCAAATCTTTCAAGAACATTTATTTTTTGGACATGCTATTTTCTTGGCCTAAACTTTGCCTTACACATTCTCAGCCTATAAAATACTCATTGGCCTTTCAGTCATCTTAAGTGTCGTTTTCTTTGCAAGGATTTCCAAATACCCCTAGAGTCAGCTTTTTCCATCTAGCTGATGCCCATTCATGTACCTTCATTTTATTTTGTTGTCTCTTTTTTTTAAGGGTTTCAATTTACAATTTGACATTTCAACTTACATATGAAGTTTTTTTAAGATATGTACTATTTGCACATAACATACAGTGAAGAAGTGCCACGTGATTCAATGTGAAAGTCTTCATTTTATGGATCACAACTAGTCACAATGAAATATAACTTCTTACTAAGAGTCTGTCTTCGTTCAGATAATAAACTCCAAGCAAGTGGCCATCTTTTTATTGAAATCAATACCATTATAGTAGGTGAATAAAAAATGTTTAATTAGCTAATGAGCTGGTTATCCAAGGATCAAATGACTATCAAAGTGGCAGGTGCAGACAGACACATGCAAGACATCGGCCTTATTACAGCTCAGCATTTCTTAAATGCTTTGTTATCCTCTAGGTGTGTATGTGACAGGCACACATGTACAACAGGATATATTTTCTAACATCTTGGGAAAGAGCTAAAGAATTAAAATTTATAGTGAAGCCTTTCAATTTTGTCAGGTATCACTCTTTAAAGAACGCAGTTATATAAAATCGCTAGAGAAACTTTAATAGTACTAACCCATTATCAAGTTTTATAGATATTGTCTTCTGAACTCTGGGAAAAAAAGAAAGTTTTAACATCAATAGACACAGCATGACCAAATAATGACAATTCCTACTTATTTAGGTTTCTCTGCATAATCAATTCAGTACCAGATAAATGCATGTTCAAATCTCAGCTATATAACTTAGCTACCACTGTCATTGTGTTTTATTTTCTGCTTTATCTTTCTGAGCTTTATTTTCCTTATCTATGATAAAGATTGCTCTACCACATTAGGTAACAAGTAAATGGTATGCAACTATAGGTAGATTTTGATGTATCAACTTAAACACTATTAATCGTTTAAGAACTTTAGTATTACAAGACACATGTCAAGTTCCTTCTAATTATTAAAAAACAAATTTACATTATTAGAAATAATTACTTAGAGAGACATTCCCCCTACCCTTCTATTTCTACACCCACACAATCTAGAACTATAAGGTAGGAAAATAATTACCTCTCATTTTTCACTTTAAATAAAAATAAACCTAAAGTACTATGGATTCCTAAAATGGCACAAAATATGCATCATGAAATGTCTCTAGTGTTACCTAAACTAATGCTGTGCCTAAAAATATTAAAGGACAATAACCAAATCTGGCAAGGATATGAGGGAATTTATATAATATTTTGTGTAACAGTGGTGAAAGTATAACTATATACAAATTTTCTGAGGTCAACTGAACAGTAGATATCAAAACTTTAAAAAGACATTCCCTTTGACTAGGTCATTCCACTTCTAAGAGTCTAACTAAGAAACTAATGGGACAGTGATTTTCTCATAGTGGTGGTTTAAGATAGCAAAGGAGATCAACAGGAGATCGAGCAAATTAGTTAATTAAATTCTATAGTCAAAAATACTTAGAGACCATTAAATAATGATGTGGGAATTCTTTATTTACATGGAAAGACACCTGTGAGTTATAGCCTATTTTAAAAGGTTATAAGACAGTATATATACTAGTTTGTATTTTTTGAAAAGAAAATAATAAACAGAAAAGAAGTCTGGAAGGATATTTACCAAAATGTGTAGTGGAATCATCTCTAGGTTATGGGATGGTAAGTTATTTTTCCCTTTCTGCTTTATAACCTTCTATGGGACACTACACCCAAAGACTTAATACTCATCAATAAGTACGCACCAAAACACATTAGACCATTACTATCAGCTCTGAAAGCAGAAACTGGAGAAAATACATATGTGGTAGGAGAACTTCAACACCCCACTCTCAGCAAGGGAGAAATCAACAAGACATAAATTAAACAAAGACACAATAGCCCTAAATGAAGAGCTAGAAAACACAGACCTAACAGACATCTATAGGACACTTTACCCCAGAAAAATTGAATACACATTTTTTTTCAAATGCACATAGATCATTCTCTAGGCTTAACCACATATTGGGTCACAAGACAAACATTAACAAATGCATGAAGACAGAAATGATGCCAAGTATCTTTTCTGACATAAAGGCATCAAACTAGAAATCAACTATGCAATGAAGCAAGGAGATTGCCCACTACATTAAGACTGAACAACATGCTACTGAAAGACCATTGGAATGAGGAAATCAAAGAAGAAATTAAAAAATACCTTGAGACAAATGACAAAGGTGACATGACTTTCCAGAACATACGGGAGTCATCAAAAACAGTAGTAAGAAGATAAGTACATAGCAATAAAAGCCTGTATCAGGAAGAACCAAAAACTGGTTCTTGATAAAATGTAAATTTTGATGTGACTATCATTGTTATAATGAATGGTTTTCCAACAATTTACATTAATATTTGTTTTAACTGTGCAATAGTAATCCTAATAAATTTAATACTGCACCCATTTTATTTCCTTCTGGAAAAAGTAACAGCAGATGATAATCTCTGCTTCTAAAATGAATTCTTTCCTTCCTCCACTTGAATTTCATTGATAAACATGTTTTTAATACTTGTGATATATGACATTTTAGGAATATTTTTTATTTTAAAGTAAGACCCCGAGCCTGGGAGGAAAGATCTATTTCCCCTGGGTCTTCTTTTTCTTTTTTTTAATTTATTTTTGCCAGGCCCTCCCTGGTGGCACAATGGGTTAAGACGCAGCACTGCAAGCCAGCCACAGCTGCTTCGGTGTGAGTTCGATCTCTGGTCCCAGAGGTGACCCACATGGTGCGGCAGACTCGCCCACCACTCCCCTCAGCAGTGTACTTCATAGATCTGCCTTTTCTGTTTCCCACTCTGTCCCTGGTGAATCCTTTCACTGCCCCTGTACCTCTGGCTTGCACCCCAATTCTATAAGTAAAAATAAATAAATCTTAAAAAAAAATTTATTTTTGCTTAGAAGAACTGGAGGAATAGGCCAGAGGTGCAGGGGGTGAGAGGATTCACCAGAGACAAAGTGGGAAGCAGAACCAGGCAGATCTACTGAAACAATACTGCTAAAGGGAGAAGCAGGCAAGACAGGAAAGGTCTGCTGCACCATGTGTGTCAGCTCCCTGCGTCAGCTCCCTGGCCAGTGATAAATTCAGGTCATAGGGTGACAGCCTAAGATTCAACCCCTAGGCCGCCAAGGAGGGACCACTTTAGGAAATTTAAAAATAGCTAAAACACTACCTATACACAACAATCTTACAAATCTCTAGTAGAGAATTTGCACTTTCTTGTATCATTTAAAAAGATTAAAAATTAAAAAGATTAAAAAGAAAAAATACTTAGAACAACTTCCCAGTCTTGACATGAGTTAATAATAGAGATCATTTCCTGGAGGAAAACTGGATCCAGTAAGGTCAAAACCAGAAAGGTCTTGCTATAGGGCTACAGGGAAGGGTAAGCTCTCTCTATTGAGATTAGTTAACCCTAAAAAGAAGGATCTTGTGGGGCTGTTTTATCTGAGGTTCCTAACGACAGTCCACTGACATGAAAAGGCAGGTAGGTAGTCTTTAGAGACCACAGAACAGAGATTCTAGTGGGGTTATTAGTCAGGAGATACTATATACTTAAGTCTATCATTGTTTTATTCTTGACTTAGCTAAATCATATCTCCCCCAGAAGCCGTCTTCTGCAGTTTGTAGCTCACAATGAGCAGAGTAAAAGGAATACCCAAGTATTTCATTTGTATTACACAGAATTTTTTAGAAGTCAACATCATGAAGAGCATAAGTGTTTAATAACTTTTAATAATAATAACAATTGCTAATGTTATTGTAACTGGAGTTAAAAAGCCCCACATGCATGTGACAGTCAGCAAATGCCCCTGATCAAAAAAGCTTAAATAATATCATTTTTTTTTTAACTTCAGGAAAAATACCTTTGCAAAGAGTATACTGAAATAACCTGGTCAAAGCTGTATGATCTTTACAATATTGGAATCTACAATATTTAAAAGGCAGGCTTCTTCTGGTCCAGAGGTTCTTTTCCTATTTTGCTATGATGCTTATTTTTATAGATAGTAAAGTTTTATTAATTTCAGCTAATTGCAAAGATAACCAAAAATACTCATAAACTGATGAATCACAAAATATTTTAAGAGCTGTGCCTCCAAAAATATGTTGAGCACATACAGCAATAGAAGATGTCCAATTCTTGCTAAAGAAAACCCTCAATTGTTTATTTGAATGTAATTGTTGGACACTCCAAAAGTGCCTTCTTGCATAAGTTAAATAAAGCATGTACAACCTTTCCAGTAATTTGTTTTATAAGTAAGCAATGAAAAAAAATTCTGGCAACATTTGGCCCAATTAGAAATCTCACTAGGTTAAGTTTAAATTAAGTATCTAATCTAGTTTGAGGACCTAGCACTGTGTTGTTTGTGGCATTATAAAGAATAAAGAATAAAGGGAAGCAACATACAAGATTTATGGAAATCTAATTAAAGCTGTAACAGAATCATGTCAAAGTAACAGTATGAATATGTATAAAACTTGCGACAATAATATACATATAGGTTTTTCCTCTCATCATCCCTCCACTGTTTCCTTAATCTTTTCAAACAAATCTCATAGTCCCAGTCATATTTATTTTCTCCATCTTTCACCTGGATATTAGTTCTTCACTACTCTTAAGCTGCATAGTTTCTGACTGCTACTGGTCTCATAATTCTCATTTTTCACTTCTCCTGAACTAACTGCTAATTCTGAGGGAAATGTTCATAAAAAAAGGAGATCTACTTACATGCTCCAAGTTTGTTTTTAATACTAATGGTTCGTCTCTTTTTTTTTGTTCATCTGTTTTCCTTTTCCCTGTTTCTGTTTCCTCTGGTAACAATTTGTGGATGTGATCTTCAGAGGTTTTCTCCTCTTGTAACTTTTCTTCTCTCAGCTAAAAAATACAAATCACACCAAAACAGTGGTTTTAGGCAACTATAGATATAAAAATAACTTTAACTCAGTAGGCTATTAAAACAAACATCACACAGTAGTTCCAAGACTACATTTCTTATTGGATATATAGCTCTCTCTTGACTTTTAAGTAAATCTGCTTCAACTTGGTTCTTGCCAAACATATAGTTTACGACTTAAAATTTAATTGCTTTGGTGAATGATGTAATATATATATATATATATATATATATAAATTTTTAAAAAGATGTAACTGCTTTGCATTCTTAAGTAATAGGAAACTAAAAAAGCTAAAATAATACATATAATTAAAGTTTATTCACCTAACCAAAACTTTCCTTATTTCAATGAGCTAACTTTAACTGCATTGGACTAGGAGAACACAAGAGATGAAGGTCACAGAGGGCCAGAAAAGTTGGGCTAATAGGCATGACAAGTAGTTAGGCCTAGTGACAAGAGAGAAGTGACTTCTTATTGTTGCAAAAGCCTGTAATTTAGACGATTATCCTGTGGGTCAGAGGCTCGGTTAAGCTACGTGGTCTCACAAAGAAACTGAAGGTAAAGGCGTAACCTCATTTTGGGAGGTGGTGAGCCATTATGAAAATAAGATGGTCTAAAACCTAAACCTACAATCTAGGCTCTAGGATTCTGCCTCTTTCTTACCAGGTATTTAATGTGGGCAAACATCCTAAGTTCCCCAAAAAATAGGGATAATACTATTTATTTTGCAGATATTGTTGCAAGAAATAAATATACAATGTAACATATGTAATATGTCTTGCTTTGTACCTGCAGTACATTAAGCATTCCCTTTATCAGATACATTAGAGTAAGCAATACCTGATGGGGGTATCCTAATAGTATCTCAATTAAATATAAATAAATTTAAATAAACAAAAAGAACAGAAGAGCTCCCTTTCCTTATTATTATTATTATTTTTTAACCACCAAGGGTTTTAATAAAATTTAAATGACATATGCACATCAAACTAATTACATTTTACTCATAGGTGTAAAAATAAAAAGCTAAAGGCAAACTATCTTCATTAATTCATTTAACTTCAGGGTTTAAAAAAAAAACAGCAGTAACAACCTAACTTCTATAGGTCTGATTTCTACAAATATAAACTAGTCTTTAATGCACACTGTGTCTAATCCAGTTTATGAATATGTAAAGAATACCATACACAATGCTATGCCACAAGGAAATTCAAATGATATAATGTATCCCCAACTCTGCCCAATTCAAAGAAGAACATAAGACCCTCCCCACCCAAAAAAAAAAAAAAAAAGCAAATTCAAAGCCAGAGAGAAAGCAAATCTGAAGTCAGTGCTAATGGCACACATAAAAGATCAATGTCTTTGGAAGATCTTAAATGAGAAATTCTTATTCAACAATATGATTGCAGACTATAAAAGGGGGCATTTTATTTTTAGAGGTTAGAGGCAGAGTGGCACAAAAGAGAACAGGTTTTAGTATCATAATAATTGCTATCATTTAATGAACTCTATGTGTCATGTGTTGAGGTAAGCATTTACATACTTTCTTTCTCACTAAAGAAAGCTAAGGCTTAATGTGTTCAAATTCATACAGTCATAGGCCCTGGAGTGGTTTTGACCAAAGGATGATTTTTGCCTCCAAGAAGACATTTAAGAATGTCTGGAGATACTTTTGGTTATCACAACTAAGGGCATGGGGTATATGTGTTACTGGCACTTATGGCTAGAGACCAGGGATCGCTACTAAAAATCTTCTTTATATAAGATTTATCTATTTATGCATACAAGAACTGGGGTGTAGGCCAGAGATGCAGGGGGCTGAGGGGTGAGAGGTTTCACCAGAGACAGAATCGGGAGCAGAGCAGGAGATATACTGAAATACATTACTGAGGACAAACAAGCAAAAAATATACAATGGGACAGGACAGTTTGTTCAACAAATGGTGCTGGGAAAACTGGACCACCACTTGCAAAAGAATGAAACTAGACTAGTACCTCACACCATACATAAAAACCAACTCAAAATGTATTAAACATAAGACCTGAAACAATAAAATATATAGAAGAAAATATAGGAAAAACACTGTACAACACACATCACAGGAACATCTTTAAAGACACATCCCCCAAAGCAAAGAAAGTGAAAGAAAAGATAAACAGCTGGGATTACATCAAACTAAAAAGCTCCTGTAAAGCAAAAAGGCATTAATTAAAACAGACACCCTACTGATAGGAAGAAAATTTTTGCCCTCCATACAACTGATAAGGGATTGATCACAAAGATTTATAAAGACCTCAGATTTTAAAACAAACCAATGGCTTCAGATATCAGGGTCTCTCGATCTTAGTTTTCTAGCATTTTTAGGTTAGATAACTCTTTGTTATGGGGAACTGAGCAATCTAAAATGGTTATGCTTGAGTATTTTATTGGGGAGCTGAAATTAAGATCAGAGTAGCCAACGAAAGTGGTACAGTTGGCTCAAGAGCCAGTGAGGAGGACAATAGGAGACACTGAAACATATCTCAAGACTGTCAGTCTGAAGTGGGCAAGAGAAAATCATATGTCTATTGACTCTCACCTCCCACTGTACATTGGCTTGTACATTTTGAGGAAGCCCCACACAGACACTACAGTACCGACAACAGAGAGGACCTAGACATGGCAAGAGACAGGCAGTAGGAGCCTGAACATGGAGATCTCAGGTTACGACAAAGTGAAGTTGTCCACTTCTGTATATAGAATGATTTTTACTGCTCCCATTTACAGGTGTTATTACTGACTTCTGTACTTTAATCTCATTCCCAGTTATATCACCAAGATATAATGAAATTTTATCTTAAAAATGTTTTTTATTTTGCCCTGATTTTTAAAAATCAAAGCACCATATGCAGAAAATTGTACAAATCATATGCCAATAAATTATACAAAGCAAGGATATCCATGTAACTATCACCTAAGTGAAAAAGTGGTATACACTGCTTCTCGGCCTTTGGCTAAGATCAGGTGCAAAAAAGGTATACACTAGAACCCCTTATATATACCCTTACACAAAAGTAACCATAATCCAGTTTCTAACACCAAAAGAATCACTTCACTTATGTCTAATTTTATATAAACTGACTTCTTTTAAAGATTTGTTTTTATTTATGCATGCATGCAAGAACTGGGGTGTAGGCCAGAGGTACAGTAGAGTGAGAGGATTCACCCAAGACACAGTGGGGAACAGAACAGGCAGATAAATATACTGCTGAGGGGAGCAGCCAGTGAGACAGGAGAGGTTTGCTGCACTATGTGGGTTATGTCTCTGATGAGGATGGAACACCTGTGCCATGCGGGAGGATCTGTAAGTGGAATTTTATGGGCACTGAGTCTGTCTTCCTTTAGACAATATTCTATCACCAACATGGTAGATATATAGTATTTTGTTCCTTCTCTTTTGTTGCATCTACTGTTTGGTTAAAAACAACCAACTGATTGCTAATGAATATCTGAGTAGTCACTAATTTTGGATATTTAGAAATAAGCTGTTATAAACATTCTTGCATATGTCCCAATACACATACCTTTCTGTGGGGCATATTCTAGAAAGGAAACTGTTTAGTCATAGATAATGTATGAGCATGCTGCTATAGTTTCCTAAATTATATTTGCATCCACTCTCCCACTCCCATGTAGTCCAATGATAATTGCTCCCAGTCTTATTAACACAAAAGACTATTTGTCCATATCAGCAATTCTAGTGAATATATATTAGTAGTGAGTTATGACTTCAATATGCATTTCTCTGATGACTAACAATGTAGAAAATCTTTACATACACTAACTGGGACTCCTCTTTTTTTAAAAGATTCACCTTTTAAACTGGGGTACAGGCCAGAGGTGTGGTGGGTGAGAGACCAGAGACATCTGTGAGTGGGGAGCAGAACAGGCAGATGTAGGGAAATGCACTGCTGAGGGGAGTAGCGGGTGGGTTGGGAGAGGTCTGACATACCCTGTTGGTCACCTCCATGGCTGGGGATCAAATTCAGTGCTGCAGTGGCTGTGGCACTGTGCTTCACAGTGCTGTATTTTAACCCACTGTGCCACCATGGAGGGCCAGGAGCTCCTCTTTTATGAAATTCTGTACATATCATTACCCCTTCCTTTTTTTTTTTTTTTTACATTTTTAGAGTTTTTTTTTTCTCTTTCAATTGGTAGAAATTATTTATATTGTTTCTAGCTCAAATCAATAAATGGAAGGAAATTATTCTGCTGTGATTTTAGAATTCCAAGTTTTAAATAACAACAGAACATGACACCTAAAGCATGAACAAAAATTCAAAAATACACAAGTGGTTCTCACACAAAACTAGCAATAAAGGACTGATCACAAAGATATACATAGAACTGATGAAACTCAACGAAAATAAACAACCCCATCAAAAACTGGGCAGAAGAACTAAAAAGACACTTCTCCAAAAAGGAAGTGCAGATGGCCAAGAAGCTTATGAAATAATATTCAACATCACTAGAAATAAAGGAGATGCAAATTAAAACCACAATGAGATACCACCTCACCCCAGTGAGAATGGCACAACTTCAAACAACGTTTTGTTCTAGCAACAAAACGTTGGCGAGGATGTGGAGAAAAAAGAACTCTCCTGCACTGCTGGTGGGAATGCAAACGAGTACAACCACGATGGAAAACTGTTTGGAGGTTCCTCAAACTGCTAAACATGGAGCTTCCATATGACCCAGCAATCCCATTCCTAGGTATCCACCCAAAAGAAAAAAACACTGATTCCAAAAGACACCTGCACCCCCATATTAAGTGCTGCTTTATTTACAATTGGAAAGACATGGAAACGGCCCAATTGCCCAAAAGTAGATGACTGGATTAAGAAGATGTGGTACATATTACACAATGGAATATTACTCAGCAACCAAAAAAAATAAGCACATGCCTTTTGCAGCAACTTGGATGGAGCTGGAAAAGATCA